ATCCATCACTACGGGTGACTTTGACGAAACTCCGATTAATTTAATCGCAGATTAACTTATCGAGTAACGCTAGCTTGTTACGAATAGAATCAATTCCTCGTTATTTAACATATGGGAAAAGATTAGAAACGACAAATTATTATAAATCTCTTGAGCAATTCTGTCGATTGAATATTAATCGCCGATTAATTTAATCGTAGTTCGTTACTCGTCTTTTCACGACACGTGCCAAATTACAAGATTAACAAATATATAGCGATATCTTGTTAACAGCGTAGATGAGGAATGATAAGGAGATCAATGACGCGTCGATTGAATCTTCCGGGTTGGTAGCTCATCGCTATTTTTATCCGTTAGTCTCGTTAATCGAACAATCATCGGAGATGACTATAGAAAAGTCGTCATTGGCATTATCAATATCGACAGGTGTCCGATTTTTTTTTCATTTAAAAAAAAATTCAACGTCGAGAACTTCCACGTGTATATCAATTAACGGAAGTTGCCGGATAATCGAACGATAATTTTCCGAGAGACTCGTTGGGCTAAGTAAATTCGAACGTATTCGCGGATGCCGCGCGCGCAGGTAACGTGCGTTGCGCGCGAAGCGCCGCGGACGGCCGAGCGCGAGGGTCGTTCGTCGCGCGGCGATTGGCCGCGGCGCGGCCAATGGCGGCCGCGCTAGCGGACGCCATTGCGGAGGGACTGGGCTCGTTTGGTGGTGTCGTTCGCGCAGTGTGTGTTGTGGGGAAGCGTGTGGTGTGGCCAGTGGGGTCTTGTGTTGAATTTTTTTACTTATTTATTAGTGGTTATCTGGTCTTTTACAATCGGCGGCAGCGAGAATGTACCCCGCAGGACAACGTGAGTGCCACCGCGCCGTCGGACCCCCGCGGGGGTCCGCGGAAAACCCCGTAAACACGCTCCGAAACCATCCCCGCGGATGTTCCCCTCGACCGAAGAGGAACGAAGGCTCGGCGGGCTCTCTCTCTCTCTCGCTCCCGTCCGCTCGTGGCGCGCACGCACGCACGCACGCACGCACGCACGCACGCTCCGCGCTCGCTCGCTCGTCGTCGTCGTCGTCTCGCTCGCCTGCGAACCCCGGACGCGCTCGTCGTGGCTCCTCTCCGATCGGTGGTCCCCCCCCGGGTTCCGGAAACGTCGCGTGAAAAACGTCGCGCGACGCGCCCGTGAGCGAAGACACGCCGAATGACCTCGGATGAACCTCCGTTCAACAGGCACGCGTGTCGTCACTCACCCGCGACTCCGACGGTCACCACGCGTTAGCTAATCCTGACTCTAGCGTCTCTCTCTCTTTAGATTACGGTCTTATCTGCTGTGCAAACAAAGGGCCTCTCTCGGGCGTTTAGGCGTTTACGCGTTTACAGAGCCGAACGGTGATAGGGAATATAGGGAAGACACCCACTGACCTTTTCGTGCTCCATTAGAAAATTGATGATTCTTTTTAGTTGGATCCGCGTCCGAGATCTACGTTGCAGGTGGATAATTTGTCCCAGAGTTTAGGCGAGCCAGCTGTGTGTGTCACATGTTTCCGACATGAGTCACATTACTAGAGGACTGTCCCCAGCTAGAAGCATGGCTGGAAAGAATTTGTTAAGCGTCGGGGAATTAGCAGAATGTATAGTACACATACTTAAACAATTGTCAACTGATCCAGGAGACAATTTGTTACATTACGATAACAGTGTATAATTGTTACAAGTCTCTAGTGACCCTGATCGACTTACGTCAATCAGCGATAGACATTTTAGACACCAGTTTTATTTTTCAAATGCACAGCTGCCTCTATGAGCATATCGTTAGAACACCATTTCACTTGTCGAAATGGAAAATTGGTCGACGTAAGTCGTCGGAGTCACTAGTCGACAAAGTCGAGATGGGTGATTCTTTATGTTGAATGGACGGATAAAATTTTTAGAGACTTGAAAACTGTTCTTACGCCGATAGCCAATCAGTACATTTGAAAAATCATCATACGACAAATAGCTTAAAGGATATTTTCATTTGTCATATGACAAATTTTGTCAAACGTGTTGATTGGCTGCAGGATAGAGAATTTCTAGAGGCTCGAAGACTAGTATATTCTTTCTTAGCCAATCGACACATTGAAAAACTTGTCAAATAACAAATGAAAGTGTTCTTAGCTTGCCTACTTCAATCTTATCTTAATTTAAACAATAAAGTTGTCAGCCATAAGCACATTGTTAACTTGGAATGTTTTAAAATTATTACATCAATATATTATAAGAATAATTATTATGAAAGAATTCATTTACATTATATAATGAGTCAAAAAAAGAATGTTTTTATAAAAATATTTGTTGGCACATTTCTATAAAGCATGAATTTCTTTAATGAAATACTATTTTCGTAAAATCTTATATAAGTATTGTGATTTTTGACAGATTTGAAGACTTTCTCGTTTAGATATAATGCAAGTTTTTTTATCAGACATTGAAAGCTATATTTTAGCAGAAAGATTTTAATATTTGAATAAATCATTGAGCATATAAATATTGGATATTATAGCAACAAAGCGTTTGAATGTAAATAATATAATAAAATATGTAACATAAATGCAACAATAGAAATATTAGTATGGACTTAAATATTGAGACATATAATTTGGTATTTAATTTTGATTGTTTATTTCTGTTATGTGTATTCTGTTATGATATTGGAATGCATAATGGCAAATTATATTTATATATGTGACATCTTTACGAATGTTGGAACATATCATTTGTTTAAGATAGCAAAGTGATGTTATTGAAAGTATATCGTATAAGTTAAATATGTTCAGAGATGTTTTTCTGCATTTGTTACAATCACTGTTGTAAAAAAAGAAATGGAAGATACCGTAATCTGTTAACTTTGACTTAAAGTTTCTCCTTAAGCGTTAATATTCTCAGTTCATTGAATAATTGTTTGATACAATACATTGCAAACAATATAATTGCACGTGAAAATTTGTTGCTATATATTCTGATAATAAATTGAGGGCACATAAACGGAAGTAAAGAATGAAGAGTGCAAGTGTGTAATGTTATTTCTAATTTCATGTAGAAACAAAATAATATAAAATCGATACTGATCTCTTGAGAATTTACTTAATTTTATTTCTGCAGCCCCCCCACCTGGACCCTCAACTAGTGGCGGTTCTGTTGGGACAGCAGGAGTAGCGGCGAGTAGTGTCGCGGCTCCTAGCAATATGGGGCTTGTTCCCGCACAACAGGCACACACTCCTCCTCAACCTACAGAACTGCCAAGTAAGTATATTTAATCCTAACTCTGATATGGATAAAAAAAATTGATGAAAAGTTAATTTTGTGACAAACAATGAATATTCTTTGCAGTGTTTACGTGCCCTCGAAGACCAAACATAGGACGAGAAGGTAGACCGATCGGTTTGCGAGCTAATCATTTTCAAATTAGTATGCCCCGTGGCTATGTACATCACTATGACATTAGCATACAACCTGATAAATGTCCTCGGAAAGTTAATAGGGAAATTGTAGAAACGATGGTTCATGCATATACTAAAATATTTCAATCTCGTAAGCCTGTGTTTGACGGCAGAAATAACTTGTACACAAGGGACCCCTTGCCTATCGGGCATGATAAAGTAGAATTAGAGGTAAGTTATTACCTCTCATAAGTATTATTTTCGAGAAATCTAAAATGTATGTACGATAATCATAATTATAATTTATGTTTATAATCGTTTTTGTAGGTTACACTGCCTGGTGAGGGAAAAGACAGAGTTTTCCGAGTGGTCATAAAGTGGTTGGCGCAGGTTTCGCTATTTGCTTTAGAAGAGGCTTTAGAGGGACGGACTAGACAAATTCCATATGACGCTGTTCTCGCTTTAGATGTTGTAATGAGGCATTTACCATCTATGACATACACTCCAGTAGGTAGATCGTTCTTTAGTACGCCAGAAGGATATTACCATCCGTTAGGCGGAGGCAGAGAAGTGTGGTTTGGATTCCATCAATCGGTGAGACCGTCGCAATGGAAAATGATGTTGAATATCGACGGTAAGCGAAAGAAAAATCATCGACTCGTATTCAGGGTGTATAGCGGTTATGGAAACCTGGAAAACCTGGAAATGTCAGGGAATTTGCGGGCTCCTGGAAAAGTCATGGAAAAGTCATGGAATTTTGTGACTTTTCTGGAATTTCGTTAAATTCTTAAAAAATGACATTTTCTGTCTTTTTTTATCTCGCAAAAAATTATTTCCTCTCAAATTCCCTCTAACAAAAGCCGTTTCTTGCATGGATCCGGCCATAGCTAGTCGAGGAGAAATCGGTTATAAGCGGTTGTCTTCCGCATTACAGATTTATGTGGAAAATAATTTTATATCGGGAATAACGGCTGATAAAATTGATCGCGAATACAGACATCTCATTAGTATCCCCGTCGTTCAAGAGAAGTTTAAAACTTTCAAGCGATCGGAGATTCGTTTGGATCATTTCTGGGTCGATCTTATCACGAGTTGCGGTAAGAAAGATTACGAAAATTTGTCGAGTTTCATGAAAAGCGTTATGATTCTTTCTCACGGAAACGCTGCCGTAGAACGAGGTTTTTCCGTAAATAAGCAATGTCTCAAAAAGAGACAGATCCTTGACGATGCAGTTAAAGAAACTGCAAGAATCAAACACATTTGACGTCAAAATGACATGTCTTGCTACCTAGGAATGTAGTAAAGTAGTCATTATTAATTAAAGTAAAGTAAGGATACATTAATTTATCAGATGTTTTGTGATAATGAAAAATATTACTCTCTCTATTATGTTAAGCCTCTCTAATCTCATGTCTAATCTCATTATGTAATTTACATGAGATATGATTTTCTTCACTAGTCCGCCAGTTGACATATACTACTACTAGTTGAATTGGTACTTGATATGATACGAGTCATTTTTCGACTGAAGAATATACTATTATTTTAAGTGTTAATCATAAAATTTTTAAACGAGTTATGTTTATATAAAAATTATTTTAAACAAATTATAGCTAAGTTTTAAAAAACACTAATATTAAAGTTTATTTTGATAATTTGATGATTTAATGTGTTGTAATTCTGAGAATTAACACTTTTCGTCAATAAAACAATGTTTTCTTCCGTTCTGGAGTATTATAATTTATTTTATCTGTATTTCACCGAAAAGTCACTTTTCTATTAACTTTCAAATTATGGATTAATGCCCTCGTGAACATAGATATTTGTTAGAAAATGGTCATGGAAAATTGAGATTTTTAGCCTGGAAAACCTGGAAAAGTCAGGGACTTTTACCGCTCGACTTCGCTATACACCCTGGTATTGCGCTTGATTATGACCTCCTCACTCATCTGGCCTTTATTTCTTATTCCAGTCTCTGCCACTGCCTTCTACAAAGCGCAGCCAGTTATAGAGTTCATGTGTGAAGTGCTGGATATCCGAGATATCAATGAACAGAGAAAACCGCTCACGGATTCTCAGAGAGTGAAATTTACCAAAGAAATCAAGGGTCTCAAGATTGAAATAACTCACTGCGGAGCTATGAAGCGAAAGTATCGAGTGTGCAATGTTACACGCAAACCAGCTCAAATGCAATCGTAAGCGTATATTGAAATTATGTAATATAACAAAATGTGAAACATAGGGAAATATATTGTTGTTACTAATTTAATTACAGATTTCCATTGCAACTGGAAAATGGACAGACAGTTGAGTGTACAGTTGCCAAATATTTCTTAGATAAGTACAAAATGAAGCTGCGCCACCCACATCTTCCTTGCTTGCAAGTCGGCCAAGAACATAAACACACGTATTTGCCGCTCGAGGTATATACACAAAAATTTCGGATTTAGCTTACAGTGTATCGTATTTCATTGAAGAAAAATAATGTAATTTATTTGACATTAGGTTTGCAATATTGTCGCCGGACAACGCTGCATTAAAAAGCTAACAGACATGCAGACCTCGACTATGATCAAAGCAACAGCGCGTTCCGCACCAGATCGCGAACGGGAAATTAACAATCTAGTTAGAAGGGCTGACTTTAACAATGATTCTTATGTACAAGAATTCGGATTGACTATATCGAATAGTATGATGGAAGTCAGGGGTCGTGTACTACCTCCGCCCAAACTGCAGTATGGAGGGCGCGTAAGTTCCCTCAGTGGACAGGTGAGAAACTTCCAACAGAATCAGTCAGGTCTAGTCGAATCACACATTTGCAGAGGCTGATAATTTTGATTATTTTTAGCAGGCCTAAATTTTTGTAGCGTTAAATTTTTGATTACTACATTATTTATTGGTTCTTAGATTTCTCTACATGTAATGTATAAAGTAAAATTATTAGCTACGAAGGATAGGATACATTTATGCTAGTTATTATTGATTTTGATTTATTTAATCTGTTTTACGTCTCATATATATGATACATTCACGATACTTGTACTTTATAATTTAATTTATATTGCGATGATAATATTGTCAATGTATGTATTTAGTTAATAAGATCACATTTGATATATATCTCTACACATGTGGCCAAAAGTTGTCAAATGAATGCATGGGTTCTAGACCTGGTTGATTTGATATCTGGGCTGTTGGTGTAACGAATATTCAAATTGTCATCGTGATAAATTGCAAATGATAAATATAACGAGTATCGTTTTTGTTTATACAGTAATTGTAGCTTACGGTTTACAAATGTAACTAATGTTACATTTGCAGTCCGATATCACTTGCAAAAGTCGGATGCTATCAGTATTTGCACTAAGTGGTGTGATAATTTTTTATTTTATATATATATCTAGTAGAAAAGATATAACGAACATATATATGTTATTTATATATATATATATTTTTTTTTACTGGATTTAGAATTGTTTATTTCTGTTACATAATATTAAATAAATTGTATTAAATAAAATGAACGAAATAGAGAAGTATATTTGTGTATGGAAATACTGATGCATCTACCGCGATAATTTTGTATAATTTTGTATTATTTAAACATATTGTTTAAACACTCAATAACGTGTATCTCTTTCTAAAGACGAAGCAGCAGGCGATGCCTAATCAAGGCGTGTGGGATATGCGTGGCAAGCAGTTCTTCACTGGAGTGGAAATTAGAGTGTGGGCAATTGCTTGTTTCGCACCCCAGAGAACAGTACGAGAAGATGCGTTACGTTCATTCACAACGCAACTACAGAAAATTAGTAATGATGCTGGTATGCCCATCATTGGGCAGCCATGTTTTTGTAAATATGCTACTGGACCAGATCAAGTCGAACCCATGTTTCGATACTTGAAGTCGACTTTCTCGCAGTTGCAGCTAGTTTGTGTTGTTTTACCAGGCAAAACTCCTGTATATGGTAACTATATTCATAAATGTACATACAGATAGGAATATAGATCAAAGAACTGAATTACGTCTTTGATTTATGGGTCGCTCTGAGATAATTATTTGTAATTTTTATAAATTGAGATAAATAATATTGCCTTTTTTTCTTTTTTAGCTGAAGTGAAAAGAGTAGGAGACACATTATTGGGCATGGCAACTCAGTGTGTACAAGCGAAAAACGTCAATAAGACATCACCGCAAACACTATCCAATCTCTGTCTTAAAATAAATGTCAAATTAGGAGGCATCAATAGCATTCTAGTACCTAGCATAAGACCAAAAGTGTTTAACGAGCCGGTTATATTTCTGGGAGCTGATGTGACTCACCCCCCGGCGGGAGACAACAAGAAACCTAGCATAGCTGCTGTAGTAGGCAGCATGGATGCCCATCCATCTCGATATGCAGCGACTGTTAGGGTTCAGCAACATAGACAAGAGATTATTCAGGAACTCAGTTCGATGGTTAGGTGAGATATCTGATTTTATGTATGGAATTTTACACACCACTACACAACAAAAGTTGGATAAATCTTTAAATCATGCTCAAATCTAGAGTAAAACAGATTAGTTAATATTCGAATAAATGTGACATCAAAATTCTTTTTATTGATGAATTTTTGTTATAAATTTAATAATTATTTTAAGTTATTAATAATCAGTTTCTTAATATCACTTATTAATTATATATATACATTAAGAAAATTATATTACTGGAAAATATTGTCGCATTTATTTTAGAGAAATTTTTTCATAATTTGTTCTGTTTGCTCTTTATTCTATCTTGCTCTAATCATTATCTAACGATCTTTTTTTCCTTCAAGGGAATTGCTTATAATGTTTTACAAGAGCACAGGCGGATATAAGCCGCATAGAATAATTCTGTATCGCGACGGCGTCTCCGAAGGCCAGTTCCTTACCGTTTTGCAACACGAATTGACTGCTATTCGTGAGGCCTGTCTCAAGCTCGAGATCGATTATAGACCTGGCATAACGTTTATCGTGGTGCAGAAGAGACATCACACGCGTCTGTTCTGCGCGGACAAAAAGGAGCAAAGTGGTAAAAGTGGAAATATTCCGGCGGGTACGACTGTCGACGTATGCATAACTCATCCGACGGAATTCGACTTTTACCTCTGCAGTCACCAGGGTATTCAGGTAAATTTAATAAATATGATTCTCTATGAGAACGTACTTCCATTGTCCGATGTTTATGGTGTTCTAAGTACATCTATTTTTTTTAGGGTACATCGAGACCGTCGCATTATCACGTTCTTTGGGATGATAATCACTTCGAAAGCGACGAGTTGCAGTGTCTCACGTACCAATTATGTCACACCTACGTCAGATGCACGAGATCCGTTAGTATACCGGCCCCGGCGTATTACGCTCATCTCGTAGCGTTCCGGGCTAGATATCATCTGGTCGAGAAAGAGCACGATAGGTGGGTTACATCAACTTTTTTTGTAGTATCGTCGCGATAAAGCAGTCGCGCGATGGCTAATTATATCTCATCACGATTTAATTGTAATTTTATAGCGGAGAAGGATCTCATCAGTCGGGCTGCAGTGAGGATAGAACACCGGGTGCAATGGCACGGGCGATCACAGTTCACGCCGACACGAAACGAGTTATGTACTTCGCATAATTTTTTTCTCGTGTCGAATTGAACCATCATCCATCTCGGTGTTACCTCGGTGAAGAAACGACTGTATATAATTGCGACTCCGTGAAGTGTGAAGAGCTTCGTCAGGCAGCCGGGATCGCAGCACGTTGCGTCACAAATTCATGGACTATTTAACAGTTAGGGCAATCCAACCAATCAATTTTCTTGCGTACCTTTTGTCGACCCCTTTTCCTTTCCTTCTTTTCTCTTTTCTGTTCTTCACTTTCTTTTCTTTTCTTTTTTTCTTTATCTTAAGTTTATACGACAGCTTTTATACGTGGCACTGGATGTTTTATTTACATCTATACAGAAAAAGCGAATTTTCGATTAACTTTATGAACTTGTAGAGTAAGTTTTTATGAGAGGTGCTTTTAATGCAGTTTATAAATCAGATTAAGGATGTTTTGCACGTTTGGGTAGGAAAGTCGTTTGCGGTCGAAGTAGGTTTGAAAGTAAACTAAACGAGTTCTTTCTTTGTAAAAATTATGCTTGGTAAGATCATGGAGGGAATTTCGACTTCTCTCAAATTAACTAACTAAATATGTTTTAGTTGTATTACTGGGATATAATAGCGCTTTTCGATTTAATAATCACATAAACACTCAATGAAATTTATGTAGCATATTACGCTTATTTTTTTAGGGAACGAACTTTCCCTAGCGTTTGTATGAAAAAGAAAAGATGGGACAAAGAGACAAAAATGACCTGGAGAAAACATGAATTATATAAATCGCTATTTGCGAGACTGTTATCTTGTTGCATGTATGTATAGCTTTCATTTCGCGAGGAGTGAAACTCCGCTCTGTAAATTCTGTAAATTTTAGACTTCTAATCATGCTGAAGTGATTGGCATAAAAAGTGAATATCGGTTGACAATGATTGTACTATCTTTAGGATCGTGAATCACGTCATGTCATATCCTATTGAATTATGACGTCAAAAAAAAATAATAATGTCGAGAAATAACGCTATCTTTTATATAACGCACTTTTAACCAGTCTAAAGATTTCACTAGGATCATTTTAAAGTAATCTTGAAGTATTCTTGAAAACCGATGGAACAACACCAACTCGTGTGTACACTTCGGCTGAACAGCATAGTAGATAAGAACGAACATAATCCTTCGTACATAAAGACAGCTGTATGTAATGGAAGTAGTCGAGGAGTGTTATGTAGAGCACGCGCGTTATATTTATATGACTTCCAACATGATTTAATGGCTAGTGTCCATTTGAGAGAAATACCGTCAATCGCTTTCGATAGTCATATTTTGATTAATCAATATGACTACAACGTATCATAGAAAAGTCACTTTCTTATTCTTATATTATTACTATCTTCAATTCTACGAGAATTACTCCCAGATAGACACTAAGCTTTAGGATCGAAATTTAGCGTAAGTAATTGAATTAACTATCGTTACTTTACTGTTGCTAATCGTTAGGATGTACATTTTATTCGTCTCACTTTAATTTAATCATATCGTTATCGTCTGCACGTTGCACAGCTCATAATCTATGCTTGCGTCAACTATTAATGACACTGCTGAACTAGGATACAACCTTGCCGAAGCAACTTTATCTGTGTTAAATGCCCTTTAAACCGTGGTGACCCTGGTGGTTAGAAGTCTTAAGGAAAAAAAAAAGAAGAAGATCTGTGTTAAATATGTCACACAAGAATGCCGGGGAATGAAAGTAAACGGATATCCGTGTCTGGTGTCCGAGATAAGCCGGGATATTATCTACTCAGATAAAAGGTGGCTATGAATAAGTCGAATTCACATGGCGTTAGATACGAGTTGAAGACAAAACCTCGTCAGAGCATGCAAAGAACTATGAAGTAAAAATAAATCGAACGTCGCGTTGATGTAATGAGAAATTATCCAAACGTAGCATCCAAACGTAGCATCAATTGTAGCATTAATTATGCTTTAGCATAATGAGTGAAGTAAGATGTAAGATTAGTTGTAGGAGTATTATAAGAGTAAGATTTTTTTTTTATTAGTTTTGAAGGAGAATAATTGTTTTTGCTTGATAATGCCAAACCATAGAAGTTTTGTATTTTTACTCTAATAATCGCGACTCTTGTGCAAATCTATGTCATCTGTTGGCACAATAATTAGTAATACTAAGCAAGCCTTGGAAGCAACACATATAATCCAGTCTATGGATAGGATCGTATATTAATAGAATTCTTGTTCTACTAATATACGAATAGAAATTATATATACTAATATAGACATTTAATTATGTATCAATTGTCGCGTTAAAAATTATTGTGTATTATTAGAATCATTAATATATCAAGATCTCTGGTTTTTTTTCCTACAATTATGTGAGCGCTCGCGCGTAGGAATTGAATTCCTACGTTATACACAGTCACGATCCATATTTGTAAATCAGTATTAATAATAACAATATTGGGAGAGAGAATATTCTTGGAAAATATTCTTTTTCGAACCATCGATGGGGCAAAAGAGTGGAAGTGTTATTTTTGACTGTATTAATGATTCTAATGTTAGATTTACAAAAAGAATACAATGTTAACATTATATCGGAAAGTATGGAAAGAGGACCCCTTAATCTATTAGTAATATTTATTCTAGTTGTTTAAAGTAAAGGATGGAAATTAAAGACGATCTCTTTTTCGGTGCACTCGGATAATGGGCTTTTATTGTCTACAAAATCTGTTTGGGGACGATCGTAGGTGTAGTTGGGATAGTGTAATCAGAACAACAGATTAACCTACATGAAGCTACATATATCCATCATATAGAAATAAGGAGAAAAGTAAAACAGAAGAAAAGATTATTATTCGCGTTGTTGAAGATGCACCTTATGGGAATGAAACGCCAACGTAATATATTAATGGTTTGTCATTTTATTTAACTGTAACTGAGTGATATAAGGAAGTAGACACAGATTATAAGGCCATTTATGAATGAATTCGATTTTAAGGCGAATCATGAATGAATAACTTAGACGCGGTAATATTATCGATAATATTATTCCAGTGAATACCAAAACGAGACTGGGTCTGTTGCAAGATTTAATTGACTCGAAGTTTCAGTCGAGTGCATTAATAGCATAGTAACATTCGGCGTTCGAAATAACACTTCCATCAGCTTGTATTCAGCTAATACTTGACAAGTATTTATATCTGTAATTAATTGATGTATCGTGGACGACGCCGACGCGAAGATCGAAAATAACGCATTGCAAAGCGAGTGCGAGCGTACTGAACGTTATTAATGCACTCTTCTCTCTATGACATTCTTCATGTATGTATGTATCTCTGTGTTTTCATCACCTCGCGTTCTACGCGAGCGAGAAAACTTCCGCTCGAAATTTTGCTGCGCCCGAACAAAAAAAAGAAACAGGACTAGAAGACTAGTCCCTCTCATTTGTAAATACATTACGATAATTTATTCTGTAGATGATCTCCTTTTTCGGCAATGTAAATGACACAACATTTTATAGTAAGATGCGAGATTAACGAGATAAGCATGTATTTTATTGCGCAAAATGTTTCACATTTTTCTTAATGGTAGATCGCTCGACGATTATAAGTTTGAGCTTTTTTTTAACAGATGTTGAATTAGGGGGCTATTAAGCGTCGCAACTTTACTCGATGTTTTCAATCGCTGCGCTCTTCTGCTAAACATAAGCAAGATACTTTTATCATTTATTTAGCTTGATCTGCTACAGGCTTTTAGCTTTTGATGTTCAGAAAACTATAAGCCTTAGTGAAAGCCTTTGGTCAACTTGCTAGAGAATTCGCAATTTGTGACGATTAATATTCGAACTCTTCGAGCGTGTGTAAAACTGTGTAGAGAACTGAAGCCATTGAAGCCGGAACTAAAAGAATGAAGGTCGTTAACTTCTAGAAGAGAAGCTTAATAGCGCGCAATTATGAGATGATGATAACGGGATAATGAGATAAAGTTTAGCGTAAGATAAATGAGATACTCGCGATTGGATGGGCCTCCTATAGATACATGGTCCGCCTTGCTGTTTGAGCGTTTAGCATGAGACACGATCGTGTCTTGCGATAATTTATATTTGTATATCTACATATATATATATATATATATATATATATATATATATATATATATATAAACACACACACATACACAAATTATAGTATAATTTACATGGTAACCTTGTATGGTACCTTGTAAAAACCTACATGTCGTCAGCACATTAAAATAGTAAGCTATATGGTCTTGAAAAGTCCAAGTGCATCTACTTTCGAGATCTCAGTCTCCCAAACTCGTGGTGTAAAATGCAAATGAGACAAATGCGCAGCTAGGAGCTAAACAAATCACGATTGTGCGATATTAACACAAAATGTTTTGTTACCGCAAGATATAAATCTGCAAAATTATTTTAGTTACGTCTCACGTGTGCGCGTGACATGATGAATTCTTTTCTCTCATTTGTAAGAAATTGATGCAATGTATTGAGACGAATAGACTGAACACACAGAAAGTGTCCTCTCTTCAAAGATTTTTCGTTTAGTTTGGGGGACGTGCGCATCGAGAGTGGAAGATACCGAAACTCTTCAAGCATTTCCCATTAAATTTTAACTCGAAGTGGTGCCGAAGGAAGGAATCTTTAGCTTAAGGATATGCACCCGTTTATAGTGTAAGATCGTTACTACTTAAGGCATGTGGCGAAAATGCAGGTTTCAAAGTGTCAGCTTTAAGAGTGCTAGCGGATCAATAGTGGCGTTTCACGACTTAGCGTACGTGACGACAGGGAGCGATATTAGCGTTAGGTAATATATATCCCTTAGGAGCTCTAGTTTTGTCTTCTCTAATTTCTAAGTGTGAGTATATGCTGTTACTGAGTATGCATGTCCGCACTGAGTATGTTATACGGACGGGTGTCACACTCTGAGGAGGAAAATTCTTCGCGAGAGAATACATAGCAATGCAGAAAAAGGACGACGACGTAGTAATTTAGCATCGTAACGCTTTATAGACCAATAGACGGTTCCGCGATGAGGAACGGATTTCGGTCGAATTTCGAGCGTCTCAATCCGGCGGCCGCGCGCTTTTCTTCTGTCCCGTTTCTTCTGTTTAACACTTAATTTTCGTTAAATTAGGAAAAAGGCAAAGAGGAATAATTCGCACACTCCATGTTTATATTTAATTCCGTCGATCGATTTTCCATTAACAGGTAGTTGGTAGCATCTTCTTTTTTTTCTTTTTTTTTAATGAGCAAAAATTGGGAATGAACGATAGATCTCGTCGCTCTGTCAAGAATATAATGGCACTTTAACGGGATTGCGGCAAATCCAATTCGACGGATGTTCAACATTTCCATTGCGATCGTATCAGTCGTCTGTTAATCCACTGCGTTCCACCAGCCATTCAAAATTCCGATGTTTAAATGATGTAATAACAGCGAAAGCTGGATCTCTGAGAAATGCGATTCTTTTTTTTATTGTCGAATAAAATACACGTAAGAAAGTTGTTATATGTTGAAACTGTCGAGTATACCATTCTTCATTAGAGATTTGACGCTTCTTTTTCACATTGACACGCAGCGAAATTTTGCCGCGCGTGTTTCTACTAACATTTTTGAAATTATCTATTCCGCGGACATATTAAGATAAAAATATTTGAAGCTTTTTTTTACGCGAAGATGACTTTCGATATAATCACGCTTGTTTCTGCAAAGGTTCAGCTTGTCGAGTGAATAAAGTATCGTCCGATAGCGCAAAGTAAACGTTTTAAGAATAAACATTCCCTCTCTGATAGACACGGGATATCGTGGATTAACATCGACATTTGACATCTAATTGTAAGTCGGATGAATATCGCTGCTCTTTTTCGAGCCGAAGGCAAAACGAGAGCGAGAAATGTGAGCCATTATATTTCGCGACAAGAAGAGCGAGTAATGTAAAGACATGGAATCGTTCCTATAAACATTAGCGGAAGACAAGAGGTTTTCACAAGGCGAAAGAGATGTAGAAAATTAGCTGAAGACGGCCTGAATGCCACTCTCTGGAAGAGTTGAGAGAATCGAATATAATTGTACAGTTGTAAAACTAAAAAAAATTATAATAATGCAATTTGGTAAATGTGATCAAGAGACACAATAGTGTCACGCGAAGCGAGACCGCACCGCAACTCTTTTACGTCGTTTACGCGAACGCACGAGTTGCGAGTACCCGAGATTTTGAGATCTCAATAACAAGTGAACGGATCAAGTTCTTAAGTAGGCTTGATCGATAGCTTGGGTTTGAATTATATAATAAGTGTTTTTTTTTTCTTTCTTTCTTTTAACGCGAGGGTCTCTCGCGTTAAGAGAATCTTTTAAAAGATAATTCCATTTTTAATTTGATTTTCCACATGCAACTCTCAAACCCTTTGAAAACCGGACTTGGCCGTTGCAGCGAGCAGCACCAGTTAAATTACGCTAATGTTTATGGCTACGGCCTGCTTACAATATCAATGCACTGAGAAGCTAGCGATATCCCACCGTTATGAAGAGAAAAACTCATACATATAGACTTTCTGTGTCTACAAGTGCCTGGCGCTTCGTCCGCGCGTATTTGACGTCTGCAAATAATAATGTTGAACGCAAGTAACGACTTTCGAAATTCTAAAAGAGAACTAGAG